AACTCGATAGACAACAATAACGAAAACAACTTATTTACATAGACATATATACACTATATACATTTTTGCATGAACACAAACATCACACGATTTTACGTACTCGCGTACTATGTTTTTCAGGCCCTTCCAATAGAAACGCTGTTTGATCGTTCAGTAGGTTTCTTTCCATTCTGGGTGACACGCCAGCGCATCGTCGTGGTATCGCCAAATCACACGCTGTGATAAAAAGAAAACTGAAGTTTAAAATGTTTTTTTTGACTTCTTAAAGAAAAAAATTCAAAATTTGACTTTCTAAGAAACATAGAAAAAAATAAAACTAATTCATAGACACATTCAGAATAAAAATCGGATCTCAGAAAGTATGTTTAATTTACTGTCACTTATTGGTCTAAAACGCGCATTTGCAGGCCTCTTAATTGAAAAAAAACATACCTACTTAATATCTCTAAATTTTTTTATAGCGGTTTAAATTTGATAAAAAAGGATAAAATTATTTTTTAAGCACGTAGACAAAATGTACGATAAGTATTTTTCTTAAAATTTAGTATCGAAGAACGTAAACGTAGTATTAGTGATGGTCCTATACTAAAACGTAAATCTGGTGGAGTACGCTGAAAAGAAGCAAACCAACAAAAACTACATAGTATTGCACTAAACAGAAAACAGTTAAAACTTAATTTTGAACAAAATCTAAGTGAATTAAAATCTCAACTTGTTTCAACTCACCAAAATGAAGAAGAATTTGACGACGATGATTTAAAACATAATGGATCTATAAATAAAGACAAACAGATATCACAATTTTCATCATTATTAGTCCCTGTAACTAGCAATTATTCTACACCCAAGGAAAATGTAATAATTACTGAGACTGAAGTTTCCTTTATTTCAACTCACGGTTCAGAAATTTCTGTAGATTTAAGAACTCAGGAAATTACTAATAAAAATATTGAAATTCAAGAGTTTATTGACGAAGACATAAAAATTAAAAAATGTACAAACAATACAAATGAACCAACAACAAATATAGACTTACAAGAGCTATCATTTCAGTTATTGTCTACTTCATCTCTTAACTTTAAAGCTTTAAAACATGATTCAAATTTAGCTGAAAAGTTGACGTTTCTGTTGAAACATCCCATTCAACCCCAATATACAGAGTTGCCTTTTAATCTGTATAAAGTGTATTACCGCCAGTTGTCTGATACTGATAAAACACGAATGCCAAGACAGTAGTTATTATTTAATAAAGAAGAAGAAAAAATGTATTGTTCAATTTGCAAGGCTTTTTCATATATTAAGGATTCATTATTTGTACAAGGTATGAAACATTAACTAAGCACATTCACAAGCAAATTCAAGTGCATGAAAACTCTAAAGTACACAATGAAGCCGTGTACGCATATTGTGAAAAAATCTAATGATATGTCAGCACTCATAAACGTAAACCAACGAAACGCTTTTTTAGTATAAGTTTCAGAACGAAAGCTTTTCTTATCTGGAATAATTGAAGGTATTCTTTATATTGGCAGACAAAGTATTGCTTATAGATCACATAAAGGAGAACAAGCCTTAACTTGAGACTAATTAACTGTCCTGAAGCAGTGAATTTGTTTTTGTTGCTAGATCGTTTAGCAGTGTTTTTTGGTCAGTCTTATAAGCGGATGGCAAAATGGAAAAGAACTGTGGTTGAAAATCATGTTGGGTCTGACAAAATGCTTCACTTACAAAAGATTGGACAAACCCGTTGGTGGAGCAAAGACGTTGCGTTAAACCACGTATTTGACCCAATAAGTACACCTAATGAAGAAAAAAATAGATTCTTAACGGTCATCAAAGTTTTGTTAACCGTGGCAAATTCTAATGATTTTGACTCAGTCATAAAATTAGAAGCCCAAAGTATAGCTAAAACATTGTTAAAATTTGAAATAATATTAACGGAATTTGTTTATCAGTCATTATTTTCCCTAATTTCTTCAGCATCAGCAAGTCTTTAATCAAAAAGATTAAATTATACATTGGCACTTTTATATACAGGGTGGCCCACCACTCACTGACAACTTAAATAACTTTTGATCCAGTTAATATTTTTAGTTGATTTTTTTTTTTAAATAATAGTTATACGTTAGGTCTATAGCTATATCTCAATAATTAATTTTTTTACATTTTATTAAAAATATTCATTATTTTTAAATTTTAAATAAAAAGTAAAAAAAAAATCTAAGATAGCTATTTTGTAGAGTAGAATTTAAGAAAAATGTTAGTAAAAAAATATCTTATTAATATTGAGTAGTAAATATTCTGTAAGGTTTTGAAGTTTGTGAAAATTTGAATTTTTATGTACTATTTTACGGTATTAAACATTGAAATGCGTATTGAGAAAAGGACAGAAGAAAACGCTATCTTTTCATGATTACTACTGTGTATACATATGATGATAGTGTGTATACATTACAAACTTGGCATTAATACCATGATAAGAAATTAGATAAGGCAATTATTACTTATCACTCTCATTCAAAAGTATATTGAAAAGATAGCGTTTTCTTCTGTCCTTTTCTCAATACGTATTTCAATGTTTAATACCGTAAAATAGTACATGAAAATTCAAATTTTCACAAACTTCAAAACGCTACAGAATATTTACTACTGAATATTAATAAGATATTTTTTTACTAAAATTTTTCTTAAATTCTACTCTACAAAATAGCTATCTTAGATTTTTTTTTTACATTTTATTTAAAATTTAAAAATAATTAATATTTTTAATAAAATGTAAAAAAATTAATTATTGAGATATAGCTATAGACCTAACGTATAACTATTATTTAAAAAAAAATTCAACTAAAAATATTAACTGGATCAAAAGTTATTTAAGTTGTCAGTGAGTGGTGGGCCACCCTGTATATCTTAAATTAAAAATAATGTAATGTACTTTATTATGGAAAAATAAAATTTGACTTCTGGACTTGTCTTCGTAGAGAAAATGGCTACCAAATGCTATTTTTGTGTGAAAATGCTCGATTTTATATTTTACATTTTTTACTTTATAATGCTATAACTTATTGAAAAGTGTATGGATCAACACAATTTCTTTATGAGAAATAACATTTTTGAATAATCCCTTTTTCATTCGACATACTTTATTTTAATCAGGATATTAATAAGGAACTAGCAGATCATGTAGCTTTTGGAATAACACACCAATTTTTTAAAATCTATCTAAAGATTTGCATCGAAGCGTTTTTTTTTTTTTTATAGTGATTTTAATCACTGTCAGATATCATTATACTTGATCCAACTATGCCACGTCACCACTGTGCCGCGACCCCCCTGTGCNTAATCACTGTCAGATATCATTATACTTGATCCAACTATGCTACGTCACCACTGTGCCGCAACCCCCCTGAATGGGTTTTTTTTATATCATCCTAAATGGTGAACATTGTTTTAGATGATTTATTAATATTTTACCCAGATATAAGTTTTATTTATTTTTATAACTTCTTAATGTACTTACAAGAAATAAATATATTTTGTATTTTATATAAGTTTTTAAATATTATTGTGCCCTTCATTTATTAACAGCCTTGAATGTGACGAAACATGTGAAGAAGCGTAATTTGTGATTAGAATTAATTAGTCTTAATAGTAATACTATGTGCCTGTGTACCCGCCAGCTTGAAAGGACTATGCCAATTACCTCTCTGTAACGTGTAGGCAGTTGGCATAAATAATAGTAAATGGTGTATTGAAATAATATTTAATATATATTAACGAGGTTAACTGTGTTCGCGCTATCCAAGGCTTTACGTTAAGAAACGCTGGGCCACCACACTCTTGTTAATTATATTTTGAATATAGAGAGACCATATTCTTATATTTATAATTTGATAAATTCAGAGTAAATTTTAAGAATATTAATATCGATTATTCCCATATTTTTTATATTATACTAAATTCTTTTTATTCTTTTTATATTATACTAAATATAGTATAATATAAAAAGAGCTTAAAAAAAAGGGTAAAAATCATAATAGTGCGGCTCAGCGGGCCCTGGTCAATAACAATTTGGCAGGACTAATGCCCAATTTGAGGAGGCCTAAGGATATGCGGTGCAGACTCTTAGTCAGCGTTGTACACGGTCATTCTGTACAGGTCCATGGTATGGGCGAATATTTTTAAGTATTCATCTAAAATCGAGAAAACCCTGCTCAGGTTGCAGAGTATTCAATTTTTTTTTATTAGTGTAAATAATCAAAAATATGCTTTAAACATAGTCTAAGAAGACAATAATTATTTTTAAAACAATTATTATTGTATCAAAAGTTATAAGAATTATCAGTTAGATTTGGTTCGTCCTATGTAGTAGCGTAAAAATATTATAAGTAATGTTTATTAATTTATTGACAATGATTTTCAAAAAAAAAATTTTCAACTTATTGTACTATAATTTAAATAAATACATGAAATATGATTTCATTATTGTAAAATAATGATGAATAAATAAAAAAATAACATCTGTTTAATAATTTTCTTACGACAATTATTTAAAAATAATATTGGGGAATAGTGTATTTAAGTGAGTAACAAACATATCTATGATAATAATTTATAAAAAAGAATTGTTTTTACTTTAAGTTTTGAGAATTTATGAAAAAATTTAAAGAAAAAAATGGCAAGTTTTTCTTTTTATAATTAATTTTAAAAATTAAATGTTACATTATTTTTTTTTTTTAGGATTTATACTTAATCAAAATTTTAACGTTGAACATTTTTTTATCAGAAGGTAATATTCATATAAAATCATAAACAATCATAATAATATAGACTGGATTATTTTGTTTCAGTATTAACTTTTTCGTGCTTCCGTGAGTAGTGTATTGTTATTTTATTGTATTGTAACGTATGAAAACTGACATTATAGCTATTGGTCGGTAGCTTACGGTATTTTATTAAATTAAAAACACTTTATTTTACTTAAATATGTTGACTGTATTTTTACGAGATATTAATTGTACATTGTAAATACTATAAAAAAAGTTTTATGAATAAAACTTTCATTGTGCATAGGTGCGCCAGACATACTACACGACGCTCAGCTAACGACTAACAACAAAAAACCTACGCTACACCATAACCTGCCTATTCCATAACAATGTATCGTTGTTCTTCTCAATATCAACCAAGCCGACCACTTTGATTATCTTAATCAATTAAAAATTTATCTAACAAAAAATATATATATTAAAACCACAAAAGAAAATAGTACGGTGCGTTCGGTCGAAGGGACGGACGGCGGAATCAACGATTTAGGTGTCACGAAAATGACTAACTACTCGACGTATTATTGCGGCGGATATTCGACGCTAGGCATTTATTGGATTTTACACCACAACGATAAAGCGTGTGTGTAACGGTCCAGTTTACAGTGAAACAGTGGCTTGCTAATATCGTCATGAAAAACCAATTAGCTACCTGAATTTATACTCCCTTATGTATTATACATGTATAATAACTCAAAAAAATTTGAATCTTTAAATGTTTATATTGAATAATAAACAATAAACATTGTATTATAATTATATATAATATTGATGATACGGGTGCGAAAAACAAAAATTAAATTAAACAGGATTAGTGTTGCTGGCGTGTGGTGAGCGGGGTGGGATGAATGCGTTACGACAGTCTAGTCTCAAGGCCATAGATGACCAGATACTCTAGTATAATAACACGTGGCGCGTGGAGAGTTACAAACATACATACTAGGGTGGGTCACTTTTATAGAGTGAAATTTTTTTTTCTTATTTTGACCAGCACAGCAATAAAATTGCATCTTAAAATTATATACTAAATTATATATCAATATGATATCATCTTTTGCTTCCGGATCGACTTTGAAAATGAAATATTGTTGAAACATAACGTTTTTAGTTAATAATGATGATATACGTTGTAAAACAGTTTAGAAAGTAATATTTGTGCAATTTTCTTTATTATATTTGTTAATAAATGAAAACAAAATAAATAGAATAATAATATTATAATAATATTATAATAGTTATTTATTTAAATAATAACAAAATCTTTCTTACTGTCAAATTTTGGCATAACTCTTCGTGACTCTATCTATGCTTTACTGAAGCCTCCTCTATCTGATTTACGGCACAAAGTGCCTAAAGCTTTTGTTACAGTCTTGAAAGCTCTTTCTACTGCTTGTGCATGTCATACACATCTAAACGTAGTGAAAATATTTCCCCTTCTTCTTTTTGTTCGGCAAGCAATTGAATATCTTCATCGGAGATTATCTTTAAAATTGGTGGTTCAGTAACATTTTCTTGCCAATCAATAAGGTTAATGTAAGATAATGCATTGAAATTTATATCTGGAAGTTTAAACATTCTGACTCTATTAGCTTCGATGCGAAGCTGAGAAGGTATTGGTTTTACTATGATGTGTTTTTTTTTTTTTATGTCTGTTACCACTTTTTCTCAGCTCTCACCAAACGGATTTTTTTTTAACGATACGTCAAAAGATCACAAATCGTATCTAGTCGAAGACATTATCCTTAAAAATTAAAAAAATTCCCCCATTCCCCGTAAATGGGGGAAACCTCCAAAAAAATTACAAATTAAAAAATCACTAATTGTCGAAATTTTTTCAATTTTTTTACTAAAATGTGCCGTAACTTTTTCAAAAATGAACATATCACTATAATTTTTTTTTTTTTGATGCTTGATGTCTTTACCTATCATTTGGTATATTTTTTTTGTAAATTTGACCATTTATCTGACCACAGGGGGGGATTTAAAAAGACAACTTTTTCACAAAAAGTTAACTTTTTCAACTTAACTTTTGAAAATGTTCCGGAAGGTCTGACACTTTTATATATATCTTAAATTCAAACTAATGTAATATACTTTAATTTGAAAAAAAAAATTTGACCTCTGGACTTGTCTTCATGGTGAAAATCGCTATCAAATGCTATTTTCGTGTGAAAATTCTCGATTTTATTTTTTATATTATATTTAACTTTATAATGCAATAACTTATTGAAAAGTGTATGGATCCACACAATTTTTTTATGAGAAATAATATTTTTTAATAAACTCTTTTTCATTCGACATACTTTATCCTAATCGAGATATTAATGAGGAACCAGCAGATCATGTAGCCTTTGGAATAAAACACCAATTTTTTTTAAATTAAACACTATCTAAAGATTTGCATCGAAGCGTTTATTTTTCATAGTGATTTTAATCACTGTCAGATATTATTATACTTGATCCAACTATACCACGGCTCCACTTTGCCGCGACCCCTCTGTACTGGGTTTTTGTTATTATGGTATAGGCTTTCAAATATGACGAGCAGCTAATTCTCTAATATGTTTGTGGGGGCCAGTCAACATTTCTAGAAACAAATTCTCGGGATGAACAAAGTAACTGTTTCTTTGTATGACAGGATCTATTATAGCTTTAAGTTCAGTTGACAGGTATCTAGATGAAAAAATTAGCTTTCACGCGTGACATGCTCCATTTTTACAAGTAAGATGCGTTTTGATATAAAACCAAGTTGGTGCGTAAACTTCTATCAAGACATAAAGACGAAAAATGCGATTAGCGCGGGTGAGCCATTGGGTATGAGACATTTTGCAAGGTAACTTCAGGAAATACGCCCGTTATTACCTCAGAGACTATTCTGTATAAATACTTTTGAATTGGACTCATATATTAAGTTGATACCTCAGGTAGTTCTCCGGCATATGTTGAAACTTAACACGGCACCGCCTTTTGCTCTAGGCTGGCACTCGCCCGTGTCTCTCTCGATATTAGCCGTCCAGCTATTAATATGACAATCGGTTGTCATCGGTTGTCTCCCCGCCCTTGACACTGAGATAAGGCCGCCGCCGAATGTGGTTTACCGATATTGCGTTCTGTTGCGTTTCCGACGTAAACCTTGACTGGTTTTGTCCGATATTTTTGTGCTCCTGGCTTTTACACTACTTTTTGGTGCGATTTACCGAATAAGTTTTTGTGTCGTCTTTCCGCGACTCAAAGAATCGTTTTCCTGCGTATCTTACGTGGTATATATATATATACATATTCTATTATAGATATAAGTTGTTACGATACTTGCTTCTACGTTGAGTATTCCACAACACCACAGTTCCTCACTGTTAGTTTGCGAACTTATAATATTCGATTGCCGTTTATTTTTTTGTTTTTCTTCTTTTCTTTGTGTTTTGTGTATCAACCTGTGCGCCCTTGTTTTGGATTACGCATTAAACTGAAGAACATATTTTTTTTCACACTTTTCTAATTGTTGGCCAATTTCTCCTGAAAACTTCAAGGGTCCCGATGTTGAGCCATAAATATGTATGAATAAATTTCGCAACTGTAATTCATTTATGGGCAGCAAACAAATTATCCATTGTAAAGGCTTTTTTAATCTTTTTTCTAACAAACGAATAATACCACCATTTTTTCCAACATTTACGTTCGTTCCATCACACCCAACTGCAAACAAATACTACATGGATAATCCTCCCTCAAAAAAGTGATTGATAATTGCTTATTCAATACATTTAGAAGTACTAGAAATTGGTGCGATATATAACAAAAATATTGAGTCTGATTCTTTAATCAAAGAAATATGTTTTTCTAGAATATTTTGTCTATACTTCTGTTCATCTTTTTCTAAGATAGTTAATGTTTTGTCCTTTTGTCCGTCAAAATATAAAGCAGGTATTTGTAAAACTTTTTCCTGTGTTAAAATACACCGTCTTGTTTTTTTGCGCTTTCGACAAGGCTTATTTTTATCAATAATTTCCGAACTAGTACTAAAAGCACCATGCAATACCACCGAGGCAATGGCTGCCCCAGCTCTATCTGAAACTTTATATCTATCACATGTTTTTGAAAATAAAGCATAATCAATTGTTGTAGTACATTTAGTTTTGGAAACTATCTTAGTGGCTTGCGATTGTGTTTAGGTTATGTTATCATATTCACTAGATACAGAAGGAATTGAAATATTAAACTTTTCTGTATTTTATTTTTGAGTATTACACTGCAATTCCTCCCCCCTTAATTTTCTTTTCATTGTATTACTCATTTGATTTGTCGTATCAATGTTTACTGTTCCAATAACCATTTTCCTCGTAGTGCATTGGTCGATTAAAAAGTTTTGTTCCCTCGTAGGTATTATTTTTATCTTAGAGCAGATACACTTGTTGATGTCTTTACACTTACACGTCAAAATATCAAACAGGGCTTTTGTACTGTGACAAAACTCTTCTAATTTTTTATCTGGTATTTTAGGATAAGATTTGATTAGATTTTTGCATTTTAAATGATAAGCTTTTAATATTATATTTACTCGTTTGTGTTCGACGATAGGAATAGAAGCTTTTATCCATATGTTTTTAACTCTATGGTTTCTAACTCCTTGTACGTTGATTCATTTTTAGTTTCCTTTTCATATTTAGTTTTGCACTGGGTCCACTCGTAAAACTTTATAACATCTTCGTATGATGGCAACATATTATATTTAATGTAAAATGTTTACCAAACAAGGGGCATTTTCAAGCATTACGACTATGGTCCATACTTAAAACGCGCGAACGGTAGACGGTAACAACACAACTTTTCCACTAAATATCTGATAGTCGACTGATACAAAATATATAAAATAGTCTAATCGCTGAGTATAAATTGTAACTGGTATATTATCTTAGTCTTAATATTATTATAAAAACGAGAGGCGCGATTCCGGCTGCAATAATCTTGTAGATAATATGTAGAACATAAATTTTGTACCTACATTGAAACACAGATATTGAGTATTTGTTTTGAAATTTAACTATTAAAACTACTTGATTTAATTCTAAGATGAAAAGGGAAATAAAATAAAACCCAATATTTTGAACTGTATGTTAATTCTTTTCTTATAATTTTACATTAAAAATATAAACAAACAGTTTTTACAAAAAACATAAAATACAAAAAACAAATTAATACTTAATCTAGATTTATCTCAATTATTTAATCAATTATAAAATGGATAATTTAAATTAAACAAACAATAGTGCATATATTTTTTTAATACATTAAAAATATAAAAAAGAACCGACCTGTAGCCGCCTTGTCTTGCAACTCGATACGTTCCGTGAATGGTAAAAAATGTATAAGGTTGTGTACATGATTTTTCTATGTCGGTTACTGACCAAACCAAGTAACAACTGTTGCGGCGTGTTCTATTGTACGAGTATTATTATGATTTTTTTTTATTATTATTATCATTGTGATAAGCGAACGATCGCTTATTTACTCAGCGGAGAAAAACCAGTCTCCTAATAAATGCCTCACTATTCACATATAAAAAAGTTCGTGTTATTAATTCATAGTTAAGCGACCTAAGTAATATTATTCTCGTAAAAAACTAAAATACAGTCCACAGTCGTAACAACAACAAAAATCAATAAAAAAAAACACATTCATAAATCAGTCCGCGTCGATGATGGTGCAAATACAATTGGTCCATAGGTATAGACACGCACGCTGTTGTCGGTGTTGACAACAGCGACACCGAAACCGGTGGTGCGTGACTGGCCCTTAACACAGAATCACGACGGAACAGTATTGTTTTTCCTGTAATATTTACGCATGTCCTTTTAAATTGTTGTAAAATATAACTTTTATATAAGATCATATTTTGTTTAAAACGATATAGGTGCTTTATGTAATTCAGGCAAGTACAAGTTGAATTTTACTTTAAAGAAAATTTAGGTTTTTTTTTAAAAAATATGAAAATTTAAAATAATTTGATGAAAATATGTTAATATTTTAGGAAATTCATCTTTCCCCAAAAAATAAAAAAATTCATGGTGCATCGAAATTATTGTTTGCTATGTATAATTTACAATATGATATCGTAACCCACTCGATTTACAAAATAATCCAAATTTAATAAATAATAATAAAAAAGTAATATTACAAAATCTGATATTCGACCGGTTATAATTTTTTTCGTGCATTAAAACATTGATATAAAGTTTTGTCATTATTTAATACTTATAATTAAATAATATTATAGTGGATACTTTTTAATTTTTAAAATTTTATTTTGACAATGTAGTTTATTTTAAGATTACTTTAATGTGTGTTAAAATAATAATATTATAATAACTAAATTTTTTTTTAACAAAAATTTTACGGTTGTTTAATATCGGTACCCAAATTTTTTCAAACGTTTCTACCACTGGTACATTAAAACTCAAATATTGTGTAGTGTCGTTCATATAACCCTACGCATTTCTTAATTATTTTTTTTTTAAATAATGTTTCATAAGTTTATATTATTTTGTTTAAAACTATTTAGGTACTAAATCTAATACAGGTAAGTACAAGTTAAATTTTACTCTAAAGTAAATGTACGTTTTTTAAATAACATTGCATATTATAAAATAACTAGGCTCTTTCTAGCTGGAGCTCCGCCCCAGACCCGAAGCCCTACGAGCATTACGTGACTTCGGCGCGTGAGCCTCTTAGGGCCGTCATCATAAGTAGGCCACTAATTCCGGGGGAGGTTCCCGGCTACGCCGGGCACATTAAGTGTTTTACAGAAAAAATATTACATGAGAATCAGAGTAACAAAAATATATTAAAAATGTTATTATTAAAATCATGAAAATTCAAAAAAAGAACATAGTAAAATTTATTGGGTATAAGGTTGACGTTTGTTAATGAGGTATTCCCTTTAGGCTTGTTCAAAAATTATTTTAGGAGGGCATTCAATATTTTTTACTTTGTTAGACATGTTATAGAATTTTTTTTGCTAAAAATTAAAGTAATGATGAAAAAAAAAGACATTAGATCCTTATTTATTAGAAGTTGCCAAAAAAAATATCGTTAGCGCTGGTACAAGGGGGGCCCATATCTCCCTTAAATACACCCCTGGCATACACAACAATTATTAATATTCTAATTATAACAATTGTGTTTATACTATAGAATAATTAAAAAAAATTCAGCAGGTTATTATACGTGGGACTACGTAATTTAAACGATAAAAGCATAGACTCATACATCAAATATGAGAAAAAAAAGATTATTAATAATGTACTGTTCTGATAATGAAAGTTCAAACTTATATAATTATAACCGTCTTGAAATTTATATATAACATATAATATTGTATATAATAAAATATAGTGCTATGTGCAAATGCAAAATAGTGTCCTAATAAAAATACATATTACACCATATAATTAAGGTTCATAATAAACGTATGAGCAGAAATTAATCAATGGGCATAATTTTAAACGATAAAACGTAAAACGGTGAAAGTTGAACGGATGGAATTGATTTTTTTATCATATCTCAGGAATGTTATTAGACGGGTCTGATGATAATTTCAAACCTTAAGTCTTAAAACGCTGGCGTCAGCGATTATTTTTCTCGAAAACGGTCGAAATTTTAAAACGCTCGCGGGCGAGCGTCAAAAATTTTCGGACCTTCGCCAATAATTTTCCAGGAGTCTACTGACCGAGTGCTTTCGTTCAAAAAAAAATTTTTTGAAAATCCGAACACGAGAAAAGCGTTTTTTTCCTTGTTCTATTATGTAATAAGATTGTATGAAAATATGTATATATATTTGTATATTCATCCTTCGGCTAAAAGTAAAGAAATACATGGAAAATCGTAATTATTGTTAGATTAAGGTCATATGCAATATAAAGGATTGTCCGTTTATTATAAACCACTTAATAATTTACAAAAATATACTCAAAAATCTTCTAAATTTGATAAATATTAAAAATAATAATAATAATTACAGCATTAGAAACTGAAAATGAAAGTATGTATATCATTTGTTATGAAAGTAAATGAAATTATTTTAACATAAAATTTCTAGAATGTGAAATAATTGGTTTGGTTATATGGTTGTGGTTGTATATAATAATTATTTGGTCTCAAAAATTAATATCAATTTCAACAATTTTCTAAATTTGATTAATATTAAAAATAAATTCATTTAAATTTAAAACATAATGAAAAAATAATAATAATTACATCATTAAATAATGAACATGAAGGTAAATATATTAGCTGCAAACAATTAAATTAAATGATTAAATATAAGAAAATTTTTTTTAAAAAAAGGTATTGCTTGTATTTTGGTGTAAATAAGTTTCATTAATATATTATATAATTTACATCTGAAACACATACTACTACTATAAAACCTGTCGGTGATACAGGATCACCACTACATAAAATAAGAACTATAAGTTATATTACACAGTTATAATGTTATACATGTATCTTAATCTAAAGAATGAGTACTGCTACAATATGGTATTAATGGGGTCTCAAATATCTATAAAGTAAGATTTAAAATCAGTATCAAATCTGATTTTAAACAAGTATATACTAAAAAAAAACTGAAACCGATTATTATTGGTATTATAAACATAAATTTTATATCTGTGTAAAATTTAGATATTGAGTATTGTCGTTCCTGTAATACTTACTTATATCCTAACAATTTTTTATAAAAATAAGTTCATATTATTTTGTTTCAAATGATATAGGTGCTACATCTAATACAGGCAAGTATATGTTCAATTTTAAAAAATTATGTTTTTTTAATTACTTTAATTTGTAAAATAAAAATAAATTATCTGCATATATTAAAACATAGATATTAAGTATTGTCACTCATGTAATACTTAAAATTAAATAATAATAAATTGGATATTTCTTATTTTTTATATTTAAAATTTTGTTTTGACAATAATAAAAAAAAAAAATAGTTACAGTATTAGAAACCAATAATGAAGGTATGTATATTAATTATATTAATTAAATTAAATATATTCTATTTCTTTAAGAAATTAACACGTAATCCACAAGGAGCGCACAAGATATAATTATATATATATATATATAATTATGGAGAAGGATATGTGTATGTCACACTATCGGTAATGCGTAATTCGCTGCTACGACCTAACAGAAATTTATAGTTATATTTAAATATAAATGTATAAATATCAGTATGTATTTATATAGTTATCCCGTTCGCCACCACTATGGCCGCACAAGATGTATATATATATATATATATACAGGGTGGCCCACCACTCACTGACAACTTAAATAACTTTTGATCCAGTTAATATTTTTAGTTGAATTTTTTTTTAAATAATAGTTATACGTTAGGTCTATAACTATATCTCAATAATTATTTTTTTTACATTTTATTAAAAATATTAATTATTTTAAAATTTTAAATAAAATGTAAAAAAAAAATCTAAGATAGCTATTTTGTAGAGTAGAATTTAAGAAAAATTTTAGTAAAAAAATATCTTATTAATATTCAGTAGTAAATATTCTGTAGCGTTTTGAAGTTTGTAAAAATTTGTATTTTCATGTACTATTTTACGGTTATAAACATTGAAATACGTATTGAGAAAAGGACAGAAGAAAACGATATCTTTTCAATATACTTTTGAATGAGAGTGATAAGTAATAATTGCCTTATCTAATTTCTTATCATGGTATTAATGCCATGTTTGAATGTATACACACTATCATCATATGTATACACAGTAATCATGAAAAGATAGCTTGTAAAACACAAGTTTTATCAACTCGACAACCGTACATTGGTACCGTCGGCTTAAAAAATTGGCTATTTAAGCTAGTTTAAATTTCAAAGTTATTTTTCTCGACTTAAAAGAAGCAAAACAATTTAAATAAGTTTAACTTTCTATGCTATGTCAATTAGATTTATATAATAATTATGAAAATCAGTGTACTCCTCGTGAAAATATTTTAAAATAAAATAAAATACAAAATCCAGAATTTTAACACAAAAATAGCAAATTTTTGAATATGGTAGTCATTTTTACCATGAAGACAAATCCAGAGGTCAAATTTTTTTTTCAAATTAAAATATATTACATAATCTTTAATTTAATATATATATATATATATACATATAAAATAAGTGTCAGTATTTTCGGAATACTTTCAAAAATTAAATTGAAAATGTCCTAGTAACAATACGCATGGTTAAAGTTTTTACCCCCGTTGTATAAAGGGGTATATCCGATTTTCAAAAAAAGCGGGTCAGATGAAAGGGGATATAAAAATTTATTATAAAAAATAATAATTATGATCCATACATTTTCCAAAAGTTATATTAAATATAAATTAAATAATATAAAATATAAAATCGAAAATTTTTTCACGGAAATCGTACGTTTTTCTTTAATCTTGATGTCCGTTTTCACCACAAAGACAAGTCCAGAGGTTATTTTTTTTTTTTCAAATTAGAGTATATTACATTAGCTTTAATTTAAGATATATATAAAAGTGTCAGTCTTTCCGGAACATTTTCAAAAGTTAAGTTGAAAAAGTTAATTTTTTGTAAAAAAGTTACCATTTTAAAACCCTTCCTGTGGGCTGTTAAAGGGTCAAATGTTCACACAAATATATAAAATGATAGATAAATACCTAAGGTATCTATAAAAAAAAATGATTCGGTCATTTTTAAAAAAGTTATGGCAATTTTAAGTAAAAAAAGTTGAAAAAATATCGAAAATTAGCGATTTTTAAATTTGTAATTTTTTGGGGGATTTCCCCCGCTTACGGGGAACGAGGGATTTTTTTCATTTTTGAGGGTAATGTCTTTAACTATATACGATTTGTGATCTTTTGACATATTTTTCATCAAAATTGGTTCAGTGAGAGCTACACAAAAAACATATACAGACACAAAAAAAAACATCATAGTAAAATTAATACCTTCTCAGCTTCGCATCGAAGCTAAAATAAAGGAAAATAAAAAGGGGATAAGTAAATAGGTACACCTGTTTATGTAAATATAAAATAAGAAATATGTTTACTGTTTTGCAAATGAAATTCTTAAAAGTAAAGGGAAAGGGGGATAACTTACATATGAAAACAATATTAATCTTATGATATAATACAATCACAAAATGATAATAAATTAATGACTTATCTGATGTCGGATTGAGAAAAATTGAGACAGTGGCAAAGTTATTGACCGGAAAATAATACTGAACAAAATCAGTAAAGACTACAAGGCGAGCAATTACTAATTGTACGGCTGCTGATTACTAGAAGCGCGAAACAAGTGTACTGTTAACATACAATATAAGCGTGTTAAAAAGGATGTGTCGCTCGCTGAGGAAGTAACAACGGCTGGACTTAGCATGAATACGTTCGAACCGGTCATACACGAGTGCCACACTCTACCCAACAATAATGGAGCTATTATTTTAAGGAGGTCAATGTTATACATATATATATATATATATATAAACACAGCCGCTCACCTTGGAATATTATTTTTCAACTTACCCTAAAATATTAAATACATAATACATGAACAAAAATCGAAAATCCATTATAACACATATTACAATAAATAGCACATATTTAATTATAACTGGAAAATAAAATAATGTACTATTAGATAAATATAATTTATTAAATAATATTATTAGAAAATAAACAAAGAAACTAATTGTTATCAATATTTATTTTACTTAAGAGCCGGACAGTAGGTTAAATTTTAATGTCATTCGAATACAATGTAGTTGATGGAGTAAAGCCAACATTAACTTCATGCAATAGTATTATTCAGCCAAGACACCATCGTTTCATAATGAGCGGCTTATCATAAACCACTCGATTACACGCCAAAAAAATACAATTATTAAAAAAAATTTTTTTCATTATGTATCATTATTTTTTTGTAGCAAGCGCCTTCAATTGAAAGGTAAATTGTTCAGCCATTGTACGTCGTTATTCTTATTACTTGTTTATTACATCCTTGTGCTCAGAGTTCTCGTCTTGCACACCACCAGTAATTGGGCCCTGACCATCACTAAATAACTTCATCGCCGTAAACGCTTTTCCGCCGTCTGTTATCATCTTTATATATTATAAACATAAATTTTATATCTGTGTAAAATTTAGATATTAAGTATTGTCGTTCTTGTAATACTTACTTATCTCCTAACATTTTTTTGTAAAAATAAGTTCATATTATTTTGTTTCAAATGATATAGGTGCTACATCTAATACAGGCAAGTATATGTTCAATTTTAAAAAATTATGTTTTTTTAATTACTATTAACATTTTTTTAACATTCATTCTTCTACAATCCATAAACAAATCAAAACTGAAACACATTTTCTTTTTTTAATTTAATTTGTAAAATAAAAATAAATTATCTGCTTGTATTAAAACATAGATATTAAGTATTGTCACTCATGTACTTAAAATTAAATAATAATAAATTGGATATTTCTTATTTTTATATTTTAAATTTTTTTTTGACAATAATAAAAAAAAAAAATAGTTACAGTATTAGAAACCAATAATGAAGGTATGTATATTAATTATATTAATTAAATTATATATATTCTATTTCTTTAAGAAATTTAAGAACTAAAAGTCCTTCAACTAACAATAAAGAAATACATGGAAACTTGAAATTATTGTTTGGTTTAGGTCATATGCAATATAAAGGATTGTCCGTTTATTATAAACCACTTAATAATTTACAAAAATAAACTCAAAAATCTTCTAAATTTGATAAATATTAAAAATAATAATTATAATTACAGCATTAGAAACTGAAAATGAAAGTATGTATATCATTTGCTATGAAAGTGAATGAAATTATTTTAACATAAAATTTCTAGAATGTGTAATACTTGGTTTGGTTATATGGATGTCGTTGTATATAATAATTATTTGGTCTCAATATTTACAAAAATTAATATCAATTACAAATATTAATCCCATTTACACATTTGTTCTATAACTATGTTGTTCATAATATTAATACTTTAATATTAATACGTACGTTACAACTTACATTATTGAGAAGCACCTTATTCAGTCCAGTCTTCTTGGTCTTATCATTCCTACAAATCATTAATTTTCTCAGATTATATACAATAATATTCCTACTGCATATTTTCTAACCTACTCGACTGGTACATCAACAAGTGATAGAAATTAAAAATTGAATACGACAATATATAAAATAAATAAACTTCAATATAAAGTACCTGTTTGATATTGGAGAAAAAACGCTAGATATATTTGTTATAGAATAGGTGGGGGCGGTGCAGCGTAGGATTTTGTTTGTAAGTTAGTCGAAAACTGGACAGCGAATGATGAGTCCGGCTCACTTACGCGCACCTATAGTTTTTCGTATATAAAATGTAAAAGATATAAAATAAAAATACAGTCCATATTATAGAGTAAAAATAAAGTGTTTTTATTCAAAAGTTAAAATATCGTAAGCTACCGACCAGTACCTCTTTAGCATAATAAAATATTATAACATAACAATCTGTCATTTATATAGGGACTTGAATATAAAATATATGAAACAAAAAAAATTAAAAAAGGAATACTTCTTGTATGCAGTGTAAATGAGGCTTCTGCCAAATATTATTCAGGATTTGAAACCAGTATCAAAACTGATTTTAAACACCAATATAAACCGAAAAAAAAATTGAAATTGAAATCATATTCAACCGTTTAATTTTTAGTAATTTAATTTGTAAAATAAACTTTGGTACCTACATTAAAATTTAAATATTTTAGATTTTTTTTGTATAATATATATCTGAAACACATACTACTACTGTAAAATCGGACGGTGACCTAGGGTCACCACCGCATAAAATAAAAAGAACAATAATATATTTATAATTTTACATATCATAAATCTAAATCTAAATCTTAAAAATATGTACTACTACAATATGGTATAAATGAGGTTTCAGATGTGTATTTATGCAAGACAAGAAATCGGTATTTAAACTGAACCCGTATAATCCGAAAAAAAAACTAAAATCTATTTATATTTGTATTTTAAACATTACTTTTATATATATATTAAAGTTTAGATATTGATTAATGTCCTTCCTGTAATCCTTACGCATCTCCTAACAATTATTTGTAAAAATAAGTTTTAAATAAATTCATATCATTTTGATTCAAATGATTTAGGTACTACATCTATATTTATCTATGAAACAGGCAAGTTTAATTTTACTTTAAAGAAAAATTATGTTTTAGCTACGATGCGAAGCTGAGAAGGCTTTACTATGATGTGTTTTTTTTTGTCTGTTACCACTTTTTCTCAGCTCTCACCGAACGGATTTCTTTAAACGATACGTCAAAAGATCACAAATCGTATCTAGTAGAAGAAATTACCCTCAAAAATTGAAAACATTTACCTCGTTCCCCGTAAATGGGGGAAACCTCCTAAAAAATTACAAATTTAAAAATCGCTAATTTTCAAAAAGTCAATTTTTTGTGAAAAAGTTGTCATTTTAAATCCCCTTCAGTGGGCAGGTTAAGTGTTAGATTTACAAAAAAAAATATACCAAATGATAGGTAAAGACATCAAGCATCTATAAAAATAAAAATTACTGATCTATACATTTTCCAAAAAGTTATAACATTATTAAGTTAAAAATATAAAAACGAATTATTTTACAAAAATCGTAATTTTTTATTAATTTTGATGTCTATTTTCACCATGAAGACAAGTCCAGAGGTCAATTTTTTTTTTTTTTTAGAATAAAGTACATTACATTACCTTTATTTTAAGATATATATTAAAGTGTCAGACCTTCCGGAACATTTTCAAAAGTTAAGTGTCAGATTTACAAAAAAAATATACCAAATGATAGGTAAAGACATCAAGCATCTATAAAAAAAAAAAATTTTATTGATATGTTCATTTTTGAAAAAGTAACGGCAGTTTTTAGTAAAAAAATTGAAAAAGATTTGAAAATTAGCGATTTTTAAATTTGTAATTTTTTAGGAGGTTTCCCCCATTTACAGGGAACGAGGTAAATGTTTTCAATTTTTGAGGGTAATTTCTTCTACTAGATACGATTTGTGTTCTTTTGACGTATCGTTTAAAAAAATCCGTTCGGATAGAGCTGAGAAAAAGTGGTAACAGACAAAAAAGAAACACACATATCATAGTAAAACCAATACCTTCTCGCTTTGCATCGAAGCTAAAATAAATTATCTTCCAAATTTATAACTTAAATAAAAATTTCTTACAGCATTAGAAATCGAAAATGAAGGTATGAATATTAATTTGCCAAGTAGAGTAAATAAAACTGGTTAAAAAAAACATAAATGCATAAAAATTCCATTGAAAGTGTAGTATATTTCTGATCTGAAATTTACAAAAAACTAATAACAGTATTGGTTTTTGTAATTAAAAAAATTATTATATTAATATTATTTTTTGAAGATTGTCCTATTTGTGCATGCGAACTTTCCTCAGTAATTAGAAAACATGATTATTGTGGTAGGAAGTTTCATAATGCTTGCATCTTCAAATGGATATTTATGAAATATAACCCAACTTGTCCAAATTGTCGAAAATCATTAACTAATAGTAAGATTTATTTTTAAAATTATTAGCACTATAATTATAGGCAATAATTATAAGTATTAGCTATGAATGAATTATTTACAAAATATAATTTAGCTGTAGTAAATGTTTGGGTAAATTTTGTCCTACACAAAATGATTTTGTTGAAATTGGATGTTGTAAAATTAAATGTATAATTATTATTAATTTTACTTATTCTATTGTCACGAAATATATAACGAACTTATGCTAACTGAAATAATTAATGTATATTTGTGATTGGATTTTGAGAATATTTTGTAAAAATTAAATCTATTGTGGGTTTTTTAATTTTTCTATGCACAATCACAATTAATTAAATTATTTAATGTATTTTAAATAACATTACTTTAATTTTAGAAAATACAGTGCTAAATTAAAATATAAAGTATACTTTATACTTACTATTATTATATAATAAATTTAATTAATAAAAATATGTATAGATAATATATTTATTGATCATATATTTACAATTTCGGCATCTTCAGACATTAATAGGCCTTAAGGTCCAGTGCCGCAACAACATATTGTTTCCAATCTTCTCTGACTTTTGACTTTTCTTCTGCTTTCTCTACTTTCAGCATTTTAGGTCTTCTTTAATCCTATCTGTTCATCTTTGTCTAGGTCATTCTCTGGGTCTCTTTGCGTTTAGTTTCCATGCAGTTAGGATTTTATTCTGTGATTTTGGTTAGATACTATCATGTATTTTGTGTTTGTCTCATTAATTTTAAAGTAAATATTTTTCCTCTGTTTAGCAAGATATCTGATGTATTTTGTAGGTCGTTATCTGTTTCGTCTAATAAGACTATATCGTCCGCGTAAGCAACTGCTGTTAGATATTGATTGTCTTTTATTTCTATGCCCTTGGCTTGTGACATTACAACCCTTATGAGTGATTCTTGGGCGATGTTGGACAGTGCATGTTCCGTCGTGATTCTGTGTTGAGGGCCAGGCACAAACTACCGGTTTTGGTGGCGCTGTTGTCATCACCGACAATAGCGTGCGTGTCTATATCTATGGACCAATTGCTGTCACAGTCACAGATTGTTTATTATCAATTATGACTATCATTAGATATACTTTCTGTATTGTCAGTTAGTGTATTTATAAACTCACAACAATGTGCCTTACTATCATTGATAATAACAATGCTGTGTATCTGCTAATGTCAATGTCATAAAAACCAATTAACTACCTGTATTTGTAATCTCTTACATTTATATTAACTCAAAAACTTGAAATTTTAAGTCTTTATATCTAATAAACAAATAAGTTATATTAAAAATTCAAATGACATTTACTATTGAATTAAAAGTCAAAACATTTTATTAAATTAAAAATATGTGTTCCCATTTAAAAAAATAAATATAGTTTAAAAAAACTAAAAAAACACGCTTTTAAAGCACATTGAAATAAAAAATTAAAAATAATTTTTAAAATAATTATGAATAAAAAATACTAGTATTATTGTGATAAAAGCGTCGGGTGCTCAATATACGAAAAATATGGCAAAAAGCACACACGTTTTTATCACAATAATACTAGTATTTTTTGTTCATAATTATTTTAAGCTTATTTTGAAAATTATTTTTAAATTTTTAATTCGATGTGCTTTAAAAGCCTGTATTATTAGTTTTTTTAAACTATATTTATTTTTCACTTTTTAGTTTTATGTTATGATAGTAGTTACTATCAATATCATGGTTGTAACGGGTAATGGGAAATCAGGGTTCGATTCCGGGGAGGGAGTCTGAGAAACAGCTCCCACATCCAAGGAAAGCAGCAGACGCGTAAATTACCCACTCCCGGAACGTGGAGGTAGTGACGAANACTCTCGGAACGTGGAGGTAGTGACGAAAAATGAAGATACGGAAATCATCCTTCGTAATCGAAATGAATACTTTATATCTCTCAATTAGAATAAAACGTGTGAATATATAAATTTCAATAGTAATTAGAATATATATATATATACAAGTAAAGCGACTTAAGTACGTAAACGTATCATGCATTAGGTATAGCCGTGTTTTATAAGCAGGCGGGTCGGACTAACGTTAAACCTGAGGTATAAACGGCGGTAGGAATATATACGTAAGCCATATGACACGCGGATGATAATAGTCAGTTAAAATAAAAATTTGTTTATATATATATAATATTGATGACAAGCACACGTGTACGGGTACGATAACCAAAAATAAATTTATACAGGAATAGTATTGCCGGCGTGTAATGAGCGAGGCGTAGGGTGAGGTGAATGCGTTATGACAGTCTAGTCTAGACGACGGAATATGCGATAACGCGTGGCGTTTTGAGTTACAAACATACATACATACATACATACAGGTGACACTAGTATAAGCGTGTTAAAAACAAAGTTGACACCCTTACAAGGCATAAGGGATGAGCATGAAAAGTTTTAAATAGTTAATAATTCAAAAATAATATTTAACTAAAGATATCCAAAAAATTATGTTTAAATTATATATATTGTGCAAGTAATTGAGTGGGTTATGATAAAAAAATCACTCTATATTATAGAATGATTTTTTTATCATCAATATATAGAGTCTATATATTGATGATTATAATTAATCAAAATTTATAATTTTAATAATTAGGAAGTATTTTTGGTCAAAATACGAAAATTGCGTTAAACTACCTGTAAAAATTTTTTTATATATATACTTAATATCTAGGGGTATCTAATAAAAATTTTCAAGGTTGATTTTATTTGCACCTTTATCATTTGTGTCGCGTCCAATTCCTTGTGCTCTAGAGTTTATCGATACTAGTTTTCGTTGTTTTGTCAAATTCGCCGTTTAGTTTGGGTGATATACTTAGAACATACTTATGTTCCGTCCATATTAATTTGATCCTCTGGTAATGATATTTCATGGAGTTCTATGTGTCTCGAGTTCTGGATTATATTTTATATCATTGCTATTTTCAGCTAAGTTATTTTCAATTATCTGGGACACTATTGTAATTTCCAGTTTTTTGATTGTGTTTAAATATTGATAGATAAGTTATGGAAGGACATCAATATTATTGTAAACCCATTTTAAATTCTTTATTTTAGCTTCGATGCGAAGCTGAAAACGTATTAATTTTATTATGATGTGTTTTTTTTATGACTTTCGCCACTTTTTCTCAGTTCTCACCGGACTAATTTTTTTCAACGATACGTCAAAAGATCACAAATTTATCTATCATTTGATATCATTTTTTTGAAAATCTGATCCTTTACTTGTCCACAGAAAGGTTTCAAAATAGTACCTTCTGCGCAAAAATTCAACTTTTTTAGTTTTTTTTTTTGAAGTTTTGAAATTGTTGCGGAAATACTCAGAGTTTCAAACAAATGTTAAAATAAAGCTAATGTAATATACTTAACTATGAAAAAAAATTTGACCTCTGGACTTATTTTCATGGTGAAAACTTTTGATTGTCTCCATGGTAAAAATGGCAACCATATACAAACAATATGCTATTTTTATATTAAAATTCACGAATGTATATTTTATTTTATTTTCAAATACACCGATTTTTATAAATGAATCTCATTAACATAGCATATAAAGTTAAACTTATTTTAATATTTTTGATTTTTTTTTTTAAGTTATAAAATATAAATTTGAAATTGATAGTAGCTTAAATTACCATTTTTATATACTGCCAAATGCAATATAAGGTTGCCTTATCGATAACTCTTATGTCTCTCACATTTGAGGTATGAGTTTCGAACCTGCCTGTGGAAATACATTTATTTGCCTTTTTCCTTAATTCTTTTTATATATAACTTGTCTTCGTGGTGGAAATGGCTACCATATTCTACCGTATATCAGAGGAAGAATATTACTGTCAAAGTAAGCATTCCAAAACAAAAATTAGCTTCTCACCAATAGACAACTGAGTATTGGCATACGTAAAAGAGTATTAAAACATTTGTCTGGAGTGTGCTCTTATATGGTAGTAAAACATGGACAATTGATAAGAAATATAGATAAAAACTAGAAGCATCAGAGTAATGGATATGGAGAATAATGATAAAGACAAAATAGATAGACAAGAAAATAAATGAGCAAGTGTTAGAAGAATTACAAAAAGAAAGACAGCTTATTAGGGCTATTGAATCAAAAAAAATAAAATTAATCGGATACATCGTCAAACAAAATGATTTTATAATCAACATCTATGAAGGAAAAATAACTGGGAAGAAACCAAGAGGAAGCCCAAGGAAACAATATTTTGAACGTTTCTTGAAAATAAACATATAGGCCAATCAACGAAGGAGTAATTTTGACGAATGGCGGAAAAAATTCCCAACCAAATTTTTTTTTTTTTTAAAGTTGAATTAAGATATGCATAATGACATACTAAAAGTCCTCATCGATTGGACTTGAGCTTTTTTTTTTACAGCCTTGCAAAAGTTAAAAAATATGAGCTTTTTTAATTTTCTCAAAAAATATTTAACTTACAAAAAAAAGTTTCGTACAAAAGTTGTTTAAAAAACAATTTGAAACAAAAAAGATAACTTATATTTTTTCATTTAAACAAATATTTTTCGAGTTACATTACATTTAATATGAGTACTAAAATTTATATTCCATTTTTTTTAATTTTACCATTACTTTTTATCATGTTATACTTACATTAGACACAATGTTATAAATGCATATGTGTCTATGTGTGAGTTTATTTATTTATAGTATCATTAAAGTGTAGTGTATATTAAGATACAACCGATGAGTAAGTAATTGATTTGACGCTATATTGTTTAAACCCAACTAAACGCTAAATTGTACATTCCCAAACAACAATAATTGTTATATTATAATTATTATATTATGTCAATTGCCACCGGAATTTTTGCTAATCTTTTTCTTTTTCTTTGCCTTAATTCCAACTACTTTGGGTCGGCCACTCTCATCCTAAACTTCCACTTAACACGATATCCCACATCTTCTACGCTCACATCAGCTATCCTCACATCGCATTCAATAACATCCCTCCATCTCTTTTTTGGTCTTCCTCTACCTCTTATTCCTTCAACATTCATTTTTATAACTGTTCTTACAGCTTCCGATTCTTCTCTCCTCATAACATGACCAAACCATCTAAGTCTATGTTCTGTTATCTTATCCACGATTGACGCTACACCTATACTCCCTCTTATATGCTCGTTCCTTATTCTATCTTTTCTAGTCATTCCACTCATCTAACTAAGCATTTTCATCTCTGCTACACTCATTCTCTGCTCTACTTTCTTATCAAACGCCCAATACTCTGAACCATACATCATAGCTAGTCTCACTACATTGTTTTAGAATTTACCTTTTAGTCTCATTGGAAATCTTTTATCGCATAAGACATCAGACGCTTCTCTCTACTTTAACCACCCGCACTTAATCCTGTGTCTTACATTCTCGTTAATACCATCGCTCTTTTGCAATATTGATCCTAAATACTTAAAACTTTCCACCTCTCCAATCACGTCCTTGCCTATTGTCACTGACTCCTCATTTCACCTACCTCATATTCTCTTTTGTCAACCCAGCCAGAATTTCTGGTAATGATTTGGTTGGGAATTATTTCCGCCATTTTTCCTTCGTTGACTGGCTTAATAGAGGAATGGCTTAAACGAAAATCCATTGCCTTTAATAGATAATAATGATGATTCTTATCGGCTACATTTTATAATTGGAAACAATCATAAACATTAATTGTTGTAAAACAGAAAAAGTGGCAACTGACCAAAAAAAAATGCATCATGGTAAAATCAATACCTTCTTAGTTTCGCATCAAAGCTAAAACTACACAATTATAACTTGATAATGATAAAAGGCCTAAATTTATTGAAACTTATATAACGTTATTTAACACTTGTATATTAACACAATTTTAAATATTTAAAACATAATAAAAAAACTTATAACTTTCACGCTATATCTTTTTTTAACATTTTTTTTTTTTAGTGTACTTCTTTATCAAAATTATGTACTTGTCAAAATAAAAACCAATTAGACTTTCTTCGACAAAAATAGAGTACATTAATAAAAGAATGGAAATTATAGCACCATCTTTAAACACAGATTTTGCTTGCATTTTAAGGCAACTGAATTTAGATAAATTATGATGTATTCAGGTGCTTTGATATTTAAAGATATAATGCCTGAACCAATTTATACAAATTTTATTGCTTTTTACTGTGCAATGTGAATCCTTGAATAAACGTAAGATAAACAATTTTCTTCCATCGTAATATACACCAAAAATTATCTGACGAAAACATGTTGTTTAATTGCATAATTGACAAATAAATATAGAGAAAAATTTACTTTAAAATATACCATGGATTAAAAATAAAATCCACTATTTATAAACGTCGTATTAATTGCATTATACATCATCCAATAAAACGATAGTTAATTATTAAATAATACGAAAAAAATTTAAACCATCCACAGCTTTAAAATACACCGTGAATGTATTATTTACAAACGTATAATCCACAATGAGGCACACTGCGAATGTAATCTGAAATTCAAAATATTAAAAGAAAAGGAAATACTAATCGATGGCAATAAATTAGTGGAAGATAAAGTAAATGAAAATTTTAAAGAATACATAAATAAAATAGAAATATAAGATAAATAAAACATTAACAGCAGATGGACTTTCCAGAGAAAAGCAACTACAAATGCAACAAATGACAGAAACAAAAGGCACATCACCAAGAAAGCAATGGATAACGCAAACAATTATTGAAAGGATAGAAGAAAATATAAAAACTAAAATACTGATGAATATAAAAAGAGATATAGGACTTTAAAAAACTTGATTATAAGAAAATCAAAAGCAGCATAAGAAAAATAATTAGAACAAAAATGTGAGGAAATAGACATTTTGTTAGTTCATACAACCAAATGTGGAGCAATAAAAAATTAAGAAGGAAAAATTATTGATGAGCAGTAACAGATTGTAAATAGATGTAAGGAATACATAGAAGCACTATATCATGATGAAGAACTAGTTATTATAAATTTAAAAAAAATAAATGATATTTAACAAGATTAAGAGTATGTAGAGTTCCCAGTTTTATAAGACAAATTTGACAAAGCATTAAGAAACTTAAAATCAAAGAAAGCGGCAGGAATAGATGAGATCCAAGAAAATATTTGGAAGTAAGCAAGAGAAAATATGTTGAATGAATTATTTATACTCATTAGAGATATTTACAAAACGGTGGATATCCTACCGACTTTGTAACCGCCCTATCAACACCATGTGGCATAATGGCCGACACCGGACGGCGTTCTTGTTGTCAATATTGATAAAAAAGTCTCCCTCTGCAATATTCAACCTAATGATTGGTTTACAGCAAATTTCATGTTTCTTTATCACTAGCCTTTGTCTTCAACTATCCATATAAATTTATCTTTGATCTTCTCTTATCAAACTCGTGTATTGCAATTTTAGTTTTCCTCTATGAATTTGATACGGTTTCATTGCCCTTTAATTTATTTTTATCTATATGTTATTGAATTTTGGCGTGCATTTACATATAGAAGACAAGTCATCGGAATAAATTCATTATTAACTAAGTTAGATCTTTACTACTCAGTCTATAAAAATTCAAATGAGAAATATTTTAATTAGTTAGTTTTATCAAAATAAGTGTATATTAACTAAGATAGCTTTAGATAATTGTATCCTTAATTGTCTAAATGAAATACAAATTACTGCTAATAATCCATTACGACATAATATAATCATATTGACTTTTACTTTTATTAAAAAAATAAACGTTATTAATGATTATTTAAAATATTTCTATTAAAAGTACTGTTCCAATGATTACGTGTACTTTAAAATTATACTTACCAAAAAATTAACAGTACTTCGTTTTTGTTAAATAGCGTGTATTGTTTGTAAGCATCCAGTACCAGCAGATAATAGATTTATTTATCAAACAACGTGTTGTAAAAAATATATGTGTAACATGAATCGTAAATGGTATGAAAAATTTTGGAAGGGTGAATGTAAATATTGTAACAAAATTTATGAAAATGGTAAGTTAACAAAATTTTGAATAAAACTGATCAATTCAGCAACACAAAAAACATCTATTTAAATTTATAAATCGTTTTTTAAAAAATATTTCTCTATCATAAACCTGCTCTCAACCAGTATATTATTTTTATTTACATAAATATATTTTGTAAGAAAATTTTTAACAACGGCTGTATTGAAAAAAATAATAACTTTTTGTTTATTATTATTAGAGGAATATAATTAAGTATTTATTTTAAACGTGACTTGAAAATGCACAAATAAAAATAATATACTGGTTGAAAGCAGGCTTATAATAGAGAGATTTTTTTTAAAAAACGATTTATAAATTTAAATAGATGTTTTTTGTGTGTTGCAGAATTTTAAAAAAATAGACCTATGTAGCTAAAGACCACTCTAATATACATCCATGAATTGAAACCACCTGCGTTTTATTACATCTCTATGTATAAATTTGCATATAATTCCTTTGTGCTTATCCTAAAATTGTTATTAACTCATAACCATTTTTTGTAAGAGAAAATAAAAAAAAAAAGGTATGTTGAAATTTTGGAAAAAATACTAAGAATTAATTATATATTATTATAAGTAATATCAAATAATAAAAAAAATGTTTTTAACGTAGTCTAAGAAAGCTAAAATTGATTAATACAAATTACAACAAAATTTTTACTATACCAAAAGTTATAAAAGTTGTTAGTTAAATACGTTTCACTATGCATATATAAAAATTAAAACGAGAAATATTTTAGTAATTTAGTTAGATTTATCTAAATGAATGTATATTAACTAAGATATCATTTAGATAATCATATCCTTAATTGTCTGAAAGAGATACAAATTCAGAATTTTTTTATCTAGGTATTGTATCTAGATATCACTCTACACTGATTTTAGTCCATAATAATACTTTGATATAGTAAAACAAATAAAAAAGCTTTATGGTTAAGCATCGAAAATCATTTTTATCATTAAGGACTGTTCATCTCCTCCGATCGTAAAATATTTGACTGCCAATACTTTCTGTTTAAAATAATTCGTAAAATTTTTTTTAGAGGCCACCAGTTTAGTGTATTATTGTAATACGACATTTTATGTTAAAGTCTTGTTAAGGATTCCTAGAATAGTATTAAAATTTAAAAAATAAATAGAATTTCAATAGAAAAATAATTAGTAAAAGTTAAAATCCTATAAAATCTTACATAATTTCTTAAAATGTAAATAAAGTGTATAACAATAATTTTTTAAAAATTTACATACATTTAAAATACTAAAAATATAAAACACTACATGTAGTTCACCATTTAAGCCACTCGACATTTGTGCTATTTATAATGTAATCGCCTGTGTCATTTGTAACATTTCGCTACGTCCATTCATAATACAAATTGAATTGTTAAAAATATGTACTAAGTGTATTTAATCTTTAAAGTGACGAATATTTATAAATGTATTTGGCGACACTATGTGTTTTTTGTTATGAAATTTGCATTCAATTGTACTTATCTGTATTGTTACCATGACAGTACACAAATTGAAAGCAATTATCATAATTTAATAAACCAATGATAATAAATATAAATATTTAAGCAATGACCAATCAAATGAATGATAGTAAGATTTATTTGTGGTATTGTTTGTAAAAATAGTGAATTACTGTATGTAATATTTTAATCGAACTACTGGCTTATAAAATGTTTTAACAGTAGTTCATGTTTTTTTAAATAGTGTGTAGTGATTGTAAGAATCCAATACCGACAGATAATAGATATATTTATCAAACACAGTGTTGTGAAGAATATATTTGTAATGACTGTCGTACACATCATGAAAATACTTGGAAGGGTGAATGTAAATATTGTAAAAAAATTTATGAAAACGGTAAGTATACAAATTTTGAAAAAAACTAATCAATTTTGCGACACACAAAAAACATAAATTTAAATTTATATATTCGTTTTTTAAAATATATCTCTCTATTATAGCCTGCTATCAGCCCTTTCCAATTTCTCAATATGTATATTAGCTTCGATACGAGAAACTATTAATTTTACTATGATGTGTTTTTTTGTGACTTTTATTACTTTTTCTTAGCTTTCGATGAAAGCTAAGAAAATACGAAAAGAGATCACAAATTGAATCTAATCGAAGAAGTAACCCTCAAAAGTTGAAAAAATTTCCCTCCTTCCTCGTAAATAGGGGAAATCTTCAAAAAAATCGCTAATTTTTAAATTTGTAATTTTTTGGGGGGATTTCCCCCGTTTATGGGGGGAAGGGATTTTTTCAATTTTTGAGAGTAATATCTTCGACTAGATACGATTTGTGATGTTTTGACGTTTTGTTCATTAAAATCGGTCCAGCGAAAGCTGAGATTTAGCGTTCAGACACAATAAAAATTAAAAATTAAAAAACAACTAGTAAAATTAATACTCTCTCAGCTTCGCATCAAATCTAAAAAAAAATTTCAGACTTTATTTTATTTTTATGGTGAAACAAACATCAAATTCAATAAAAAAAATACGATTTTTTGTAAAAAAAAACCAGCACAGTGGAGACGTAGCACAGGTAGATCCAGTATAGATGATAACTGACAAAAATTAAAATCATTTCTGTAAAAAACGTTCTAATGCAAATTTGTAGATATTTTTTAATTTTAAAAATAGGTGGATTATTCCAAAAGCTACATAATCTCCTATTTCCGTATTTTTATCCTGATTACAAGTTTTATGATAAATCATGACTTTATCACTTTGTAATATTATCACATTTTGCCAGTTTACACAAGTTTAATAAAGAATTTTTCAGTGGGCCAAGATCCCAATTAATGAAATTGTTTTTATTTTTAAAAAATTCCTATTACCTCTGTTGTATTAAGTTTTTTTTAATTATTTACGTTTTTAAGTAATTTTGTGGTTTAAGTGACTGATTATGTGTCAATAACTGTTCAACCACTGGATATTTCATAACTTCTTGATATTTAATGTTTCTTAAGTTCTATTTAAACTTGACCCCTATATTTCTTTTTGTTTGTCCTACGTTTGCTACTTTTGTTAACTTTTACATTGTATTTTATAAATGCCTGATATTAGATCTTCTTCTACCTTATCTTTTGGGTTAACTAATAAATCTCTTAGATTAATTTCTTAAATTATTACTCTTAGATGTTACTAAAGTAATACCAAAATTCTTATAAATTCTAGCTAGTCCATTTAAGATGCCCGGATAATATGAATCAAAATACTAAAAACACGTAGAACGACCAGTTAATTTCTTTTTAAAAATCTCAAATCTTCACAAATCGCCTATTTTAATATATAAAATAAAGTTAAAATGGTTCTCATTAAAATTTCAAAGATCGACTTTTTTTTATCTACCTGGTGTATGTATAATATACATACACCAGTATGGATTCTACCCAGCCCAATTACAGAATTGCTAATTTATTAAAAAGTGTGTTGCACAAATAGGTAGTACTAAATATGTTATTACACGATCTAAGAATGCAAAGTTTATTTAATGAAATAGCAAAATAATACATGGATCGAAAGTTATAAGTGGGGACCGGAAATATTAGCATTTATAAATTTTGTTTGAGCCAATTTGAAGTGTCCCAAGTTTGTGCAATTTTGTGTTCAGAATAACTTTACAAAATTTTTAAATGCAATTAATTCCAGATTATAGTGTTAAGAGTTGTCAATTAGATCTGAAACGCTCTGTATAGTCTGTCATTCAATCATCGGATCATTGATTAATTAAACCACGTTATTTATTGTATAAAAATAGTGTATTTAAGTATATGTCCTTTTTTTATTTCTGTACAGCAATTATTTTAGAATGAAACCAATTTTTATATACTTTATACTACATAATTAAAAAATGTAAAATATAAATATTTTTTATAAAGGAATTCCAGTAAAATTATCCACTATACCACTTTTGTGTAGAATTTGTTATAAAAATCCAGCGTGGGATTGTATATCCTCAAAGTGCAGACATTGGTTTTGTAGAGAGTGCCTTAAAAATATTTTAATAGAGCTAAATAAGTGTCTATTCTGCTATGAATATTTTGATAATCGAAACATATAAGTTGTTCACAATATATAAAATTATAGTGAAAAAATAATAAAATATATAACATAATGCTATCAAAATTGCAATAATATATCTGAAAAAAAATTAAAGTAATATATTTTATTATGCTTGTAAAATAAAGTAGTTAGATTCTTAAAATATGACTCGTCGCTTCGTTATACATCGCGTCGTCGACGCCAGCGAAAGTACCGCGATATTATGCGAAGATGATTATTATTATTGTGTTCATCTTTTCGGTTTGTTTTATTTTTTTGTTAAAATAACCTGTTGTTGCTCATTAATAAACGGCCCACGGGTCTCAACCCTCAAAACCAGTGTCTACCACTTTTTTGCGACGTAAATCGTGTCAAATATTTTATAATAATATATTTATTTCTATATTATGCCAACAAATACAATAGTAAAAAAACCCAGCACGGGGGGGGTCGCGGCACAGTGGTGACGTGTTATAGATGGATCAAGTATAATGATATCTGACAGTGATTAAAATCACTATAAAAAAAAAAAACGCTTCGATGCAAATCTTTAGATGGTGTTTAATTTTAAAACATTGGTGGATTATTCCAAAAGCTACATGATCTGCTAGTTCATTATTAATATCCTGATTAAAATAAAGTATGTCGAATGAAAAAGGGATTATTCAAAAATGTTATTTCTCATAAAGAAATTGTGTTGATCCATACACTTTTCAATAAGTTATAGCATTATAAAGTAAAAAATCTAAAATCTAAAATCAAGAATTTTCACACAAAAATAGCATTCGGTAGCCATTTTCACCACGAAGACAAGTCAAATTTTATTTTTCCATAATAAATTACATTACATTATTTTTAATTTAAGATATATATAAAAGTGCCAATGTATAATTTAATCTTTTTGATTAAAGACTTGCTGATGCTGAAGAAATTAGGGAAAATAATGACTGATAAACAAATGCCGTTAATATTATTTCAAATTTTAACAATTTTTTAGCTATACTTTGGGCTTCTAATTTTATGACTGAGTCAAAATCATTAGAATTTGCCACGGTTAACAAAACTTTGATGACCGTTAAGAATCTATTTTTTTCTTCATTAGGTGTACTTATTGGGTCAAATACGTGGTTTTTATTAAGATAAAGTATGTCAAATGAAAAAGGGATTATTAAAAAATATTATTTCTCATAAAAAAATAATGTTGATCCATGCACTTTTCAATATGTCATAGCATTATAAAGTTAAAAATGTAAAAAATAAAATCGAGAATTTTCACACAATAATAGCATTCGGTAGCCATTTTCACCGTGAAGATAAAATAAAGTCCGAAATTTTTTTTTCCCATAATAAAGTAAATTACATTAGCTTTAATTTAAGATATATATAAAAGTGTCAGACTTTCCGGAACACTTTCAAAATTTAAGTTGAAAAAGTTCTACTTTCTACATGCATTTTTTAGATTTGAACCCCCCTCGTATATAGGGAAATGGTCCGATTTAAAAAAACAGTATGTCAAATGAAAGATGTATATAAATACTACTCCTCATGAAAAAATTGTACTGATCCATACATTTTTCAAAAAGTTATAGCATAATAAAGTTAAAAATGTAAAATACAAAATCGAAAATTTTCACACAAAAATAGTATTCGTTAGCCATTTTCAGCACGAAGACAAGTCCAGAGGTCAAATTTTTATTTTTCAAATTAAAATATATTACATTAGCTTTAATTTAATATATATATAAAAGTGTCAGACCTTCCGAAACATTTTCAAAAGTTAAGTTGAAAAAGTTGTTTTTTTGTGAAAAAGTTGTCATTTTAAATCCCCNTCATTTTAAATCCCCCCTTGCGGGTAGGTTAAGGGTTAAATTTATGAAAAAAATATACCAAACGAAAGGTAATGATATTACACATCTATATAAAAAATAATTATATTGATATGTTCATTTTTGAAAAAGTTATGGCACTTTTAAGTAAAAAAAATTTCGAAGATAAGCGATTTTTAAATTCATAATTTTTTTGGAGGTTTCCCCCATTTACGGGGAACGACAGAATTTTTTTCAATTTTTGAGGGTAATATCTTTGACTAGATACAATTTGTGATCTTTTGACGTATCATTGAAAGAAATCGGTTCGGTGAGAGCTGAGAAAAAGTAGTAACAGACACAAAAAAAAAAA